TTAAGTAAAAGATTTATACAAAATATGTTTTTTGGAAAAAAAGTTATCAACTTGAACATCTATATCCTAGTCAACAAGATAATGCATATATATAAACATAATGTTTTGTCTTTACGTGGCCTTCTGTTTTGAGTTGGTTATGAGCAGAGTAAGATGTACTGTAGTTTAATTTTCCTCCTGACCATATAGATGTCAGTAAATCTCATCTAAAACACATTGAATGTTTATGCTTTTATTAATCTGGGGGTGGGGGATTTGTGGACATAGTAATTTATTTCGATTTGTAGGATAACACATATTTTTATTACTTTTTTTAATGTTGTTTTTATTAATATTTTATGTAGAAGTGAAAAGTTAAAGTGAGACCCTTGGGGTGACTGAAGGGCCTCAGTGGCCTCTTTTTTTTTTTTTTTTTGAATGCTTGATCTGTCAAACAACATAATTACATTTATGACAACAAAACAAATAAATAAATCATTAAAATTGACATAATATGTATTTTTATATATTCAGAAAAAATATATAATTATATTATATTATATTTTAAATATAATATAATTATAAATATAATTATATATATATATATATATATATATAACATGCTATAAAAATCTCATTCAACCCTGCACATATGTATGATATGTAGCTTATATGATGTATTTTTAGTTAGGTTGGCAAAGCAAAAACAGAAAGGTGTGTGAGTCTCAGATATGGAAATGAGGAAAAGTGCAGCAAAGTGGGTCAACATGTAAAAATCAGTAAAAAAAAGTGTGAAATTTTATTATAACATGCAAATAATACACCGTATACAGAAAGGACTTCAACCTGGAGCTTGGGCGGCTGCTGTTTTAAGGGAATGTAATGCTTTAATATTCTGATTTACACACTCTCTTTTCGTCCTGTCTTTCCTCAGAGTCAAAGCCAACAATTCACTGCAGCCTGTGCTCCTCCAGGGCTGTAGTACCTCAGGGAAGCAATGAGTGAGAAGCTAAGCACAGAGAAGCTGAGAGCACTTGCCACTCTCCCTAACAGGATTATCCCTCACTGACGGTTCTGTCTCCGCTCATGAGCGGATCACATTCTTAATAAACGTGTTACCTCACACTCTGAGCGGCCGCAGGTGATGTATATGTGGATGTGGCAGTGGGGGGTGCTCGCTGTCACGGTTAGACATGGAAACTTGAATTTGTTTCACTCTCATTGAGCACTCGTAGCATTATGGGTAGGGCTACAGTAGCTGCAATCCCACATAATCAATAATTAATTGACTAACATACACTTGGCTAAATTCTGTCAAACATTCTGTGACCAGCTCAAACTTCAGGGGACGTGTTTGGATTTAAAGAATCAGTTGTTGTTGTGCTGGCGCTCATGGTCCTGTAGTACAGTAGCTGTAAGCTAAACTGTGTTTTTGTACTTGTCATTTTCCTGGTCTTTCTGGGAGCATCTGACTCCCAAAGCAAAGTACAAACAGACTGTCTGCCTAAATACAACAATTTTGTCACTGTGTCATCACCAACAGTTTAGCTACACACAGAGAGTTCTGTTTATGTGTTTGTGTTGCCCTTGAGTACAGTCTCATGCTAGTAGACCAGTATTTAGTAGCTGTCAACAATATTTTGACAGTAAGTTATACAGCACAGAAAAAGTCAAAACATATCATATAATAACACTTAAAAGCCATATTCTAGATGCCACTCTGTGCATGTGTCTCTGTGTGTGGCTTTAGGAGTTAATAACTGCATTGCTGTTGGGTTTTCACTTCACTTTTACTCAACCTTGAGATGAGTAGCACTGTGTCCTTTTCATGATGCTAAGAAATATTACTGCTCCAGATGACATTTCACATAATTCAAAAAATCTTTCTTCGCAGAGCAGGCAGAGATGATAGCTACCTGACTGGTTAGAAGAATCCAGCTTCAGATGAAGCGTAAACTGAGCAGATGCTTTAATTTGTATTGTCAGCATGTGCTTTTTCATCTGAGCCGTTTATATACTCATGAGAATATGAGACTTCAGATACTTCATAGTTTATAGATAATAAAGAAATGCTGGCTTGAAAATTATAAATACTGTCTGGAGGACACATAGATAACTGCAGTAATGTTCTAATGAACTAGATAAACTGCCTAAAAAGATTAACAATTATGACATAAAACAAATAAAGCAAGTCTCTTCATGTTTTTTTTTTTTTTCAACAATTATAATGATAATATTTATTATGCTTTTAATGGTACTTAGAGGTGCAAATGGAATCACAATGCGATTCAGATTATTTAGTAATTTTGCACATAATAGCTAAACAAGCTGAAATTTTAGGAAAAGAATGTTACAAAATGGATAATGATGTAGCCTACTGATGAAGTCAAAGGTCTCAAATAGAAGGACTTCTGTGTGAAACGATTTTCTAAAGAAATCTGGATGAAGATACTTTTTTGGGGGTAGTGATTAACCAAGTTATACTGAATTTTGCTGAAGTTTATTTGAAGCAAAATATGA